ACCCCATTTATTCCTAATGCATGCAGCACCCCCGAGGTGATTTCATTAATGCTAAACTTCAAAAGCCCGATGCCGATTGACGTGTGCCATAGTTACTCCATGAACTAATGATATTTGGCCTTCGGAGTTCATACATTGGCTGGGGCAAGGGCAGATTTATTAATCTGATCGGTCAAATATTTAGGCCCGATGCCAATCGACGTATGCTGCAGCCACTCTACGAACTAATGATATTCGGCCTTCGGAGTTCATACTTTGGCTGGGGCAAGGGCAGATTTATTAATCTGATCGGCCAAATATCTAGGCCTGATACCGATCAACGTGTGCCGCAGTCACTCTACCAACTAATGATATTCGGCCTTCGGAGTTTATACATTAGCTGGTGCAAGGGCAGATTTATTAATCTGATTGGCCAGATATCTAGGTCCGATGCCAATCGACGTGTGCCGTAGCCACTCGAACTAATGACCACTGTAAGGGTAGATTCATGAAGCTAATCAGCTATTCGACGAGGTCCTGATTCGTTTCACTTATTCGGATAAATTGAAGGATAAATTAGGAAATTGCCTAGTTATCTAATTGGCAAGTGTACACGGACGTTTTATCCATAGTAGCAAAAAGCAATACTATTCATCAATAGAAAAATTGAGCATAAATAATAGCAAAGTACAAAGGAAATTTTCATTAGTAAATTAGGTACAGACAGTAACCATTTTACATATGAAAACTACTAAACAAAAAGCTACAACTTTGCATAGAAGATGCCTAGCAAAAACTTAAAAACAATAGCCATTTTACACATAAAAACTACTAAACGAAAAGCTACAACAATACACTCAAAATCCTTACAGAAACCACTAGAGTATCGCCCTAATCAATCCTCGGGGTCAGACTCCAGCGGCTCAACGTCCACTTGCTTGTATGGAATCGGCATAGCCAATGTCATATTTGCAGCAACAAGGGCTTTGAGCCAGCCGTGTTTGAATCCCCGATTCTCAAATTTGGGGACTTCTTCCACATAATTTGCAAGGGCGGCGCCTTGCCCAGCCTCGTACGCCTTGGAAGCCTCGGAGTCGGCTATTTCCTTTGCCTTCTTCGATTCTCCCAAGTCAGCCTCCAGTTTGGCAATCACCTCTTAGGCTAACTTGAGCGCACCTTCGCTCGCGTTTGCCCTCTCCTCGGCGGCCAATCTGAGCTGGTTAGAATTTCTCGCCCTTTCTATCTCGGCCTCGGCCCTTGCACTTTCCATCTTCACCTCGCCACTTTGAACTCGGCCCTGCTCCTCTCGCCCTCGACTTCCGATTTTAAATGACCAATTCATTCGATGGCGTCATTTTGGCGCCGACCTATCTCGGCTATCCTTCCGACCGTCTGCAAAACAGAAAATTAAAACCAAAACAATATACGCATAAAAGCGAAAGACAAGATCAAGTTATATACTAGAAGAGCTGATTGAGCGACTAATGCTATTGCCAACAAATCTGGCTCCGCCCGGAAAGCCGCCTTGTCAATCGATAGTGAGACCGACGAAGCCATGCTCAACGCCACAGTTGGGTCTTTCATAGCCGACGCGTCAGAGGAGATCGGCATGTTTTTTATTTTTGGTTGAACGACAAAAGGCACAACCACATCCAACTCCTCTAAGCGTGATTGTTTGTCAGCAGGGTTTTCTTCAGAGCTGAACTCAACCTCGGCAGGACGTTTCTCCCCCATTCGCTCAACCTCCTGATTCGCCTGCTCTACCGGCTCCGACTCGACATTTCGGGTTTGAGCCTTCACCACCTCAATAACAGGCAGGGAGGGCTCAGCATCGGCGGCGGGTGGCACTTCTAATCAAATGGCCTCTGCTCTCCGCCGCGCGGCCATTCTTTCAGTGTTTTTCTTTTTGGCAAGTTGTGTGAGTGACAACCCGGCCATGCCCTCAGGGTATGCACCGGGAAGGTCTTCTAAATCAGTAAAGATGTCGTCGAAGGAAACATCCCCTCAGCCCGAAGTGGACGGAAGGTTGGCTGAATTGAGGCCGGTTTCCTCAAAGGCCAACTTCAAAGCCTCGTCTACTTCGGCTTCGGACTGGTTTGACTCTTCAGTGACCTCCTCAGCTACCTCCGCCTACTCCGAGTCGAATCCGTCCAAACCAACTTGCTGCAAGTTTTTGAAGTTGGTTAAAACAAGAGCCGTAAGAAATTCTTTGCCCCTCAGAATTGGGATGTTTTCTGCCGTCGAAAACGTCGTATACGTCGGCTCGTATCGAAGAAGAATGTGGGCCGCCCTCTCTTGTTTCTGAAGGCTTGGACGGCCGAAGTATTGGAGTGCGACTTCAATTTCCGCAAGAACGGCGTCGTCAGTTAAAATCAAAACTTTCTTCAAATCATTTCCTGCGCAAGCAAAACCATGAGACTACAAAAATGAAGCCTTGTAAATATAAGAAAAATAAACGCAAGGAGCTATATGGCCACTTGGTTCGCCCCTCCACCTAGGAATAGGATCTAGGCGGTCCTCGCCTTCGCCGAATTCCCAGTTACCTCGGACAACGACCATGACATCATCGACTCGCTTGCCAGAGCTGGAAAGCATAGTCACTAATTGATGGTCGGTGTCCTTGGCCCTAAGGAAATAGTGCCCATGCTAGCCAGAAGACTTGGCCAAGGCATAACAATGTTGAATAACAAGTATGTCGAGATTAATCCTAAGGCGACGGTTTAACTCTATAATCTCCATTATGATTCGAAAAAAGTTGACATTAGGTTGGGAAGGGATTAGACCCCAATGGCGAAGGACAGCCCTAAGGAATGGGTGAAGAGGAAAACGAAATCCGCCCTCTGCAATTGATAAGAGAGGGAAGACGATTGTGCTTTCATCAGCCCTCTCCATATCAAGGGTGCTGTCTGTCACAAGTAAGAGACGGACGTCATCTAGGATAGAAAAATGGCGTCAAAAGCCAGAGACTCGATCTGCGGAGAGGAGGTCTTTCAAATGCTTAACCATTTTCGTCAGCCTATAGTAGTACGCTAAACTAAAAACAAACCAGAAAAAGGGATTCAAAGCAGAGAGGAAGAGAACTTACAAGAGATGGAGAGGACAATGAGGGATAAAAGAAGTTACAGAGGCAAGTCAGAAGGCACTCCAAGAGCTTCAAGCGTCCAAAAATGTGTATGTATTTAAAAAGACGACAAAATTTTAAATCACAATAAATGGAAGAAGCATACGAAGGGGCAAGAAGTTGTAATGATGACCGAAATGCGTGAGCTCTGACATTCTCTTTGGAATGAGGTTAGCCGCCGAATTTCGGCTCTGACTTTTCAAGTTCGAAACCAAACACACCAGCTAACTGTTGTTAGTGGAGTGTTTGGGGGGCAATTGTGGGGGTCGAATATTGGGAGACGTAAAGAGGCTGAATAATTGGACCTGGAGAGTCAAAATATATACATCGCATTCGGTCCCGTCTTATACATACAAATCCTACCCTATTTGACCAAATAACCAATTGAGTAAGGGGCCGAATGAAGAGCGGTTTGCAACAAAAGGAGCCGAGTAAATAGTTATATGGCGAATTGAAAGTGGGCCGGCCCAGCCCTGAGGCCCAAGAAAGAAAAGATATAAATAGAAAAACATCAGCCAGAGAGAGGTATGTGAGAACTAGTAAACTTAACTTAAGAAAGAAGCAACCAAGAGAGTAGATACTGACTTAACCATCGGAGTGCTAATTCCGGCACTCCCGATCGGAGTGTTCATTCTTTTTCAGGTGATTAGCTGAGAATCTCGAGCTTCCCGTTGGATCAAAAGAGTATTTCCAAAACCACTCCCCCACAGAGACCATTAATAGGTGTGTTAAGTTAATCAGTAAAGGCTTCGTAAGCAACATTAGGGTGTGTAAAGAGTTATGTTTCTATCAAGAGCATCAGAGAGAAGATAACTCATCAAATTTCCAATTCAATGAAGCTCAAGGTGCAGACATGGAAGATGGAAACGAGAAAGATGAAGTTGACGTGGATGCATCAGAGGATGAAGTGGATGACAATGATGATATGGCACATGATCATAGGAAAGGGCATGGTATGTTAAAGAAGGGTAGCAGTGGCAGTTCATTTTCTTTGTCAATAGTAAATGAGACGTGCTACAAAGTGGGAAACCCAATAGCAGCTGAGACAAGTCTGGGAAAAGAGATACGCATGCACAAGGTATTGATTAAGAACAATAACAGGGGAAGTAGAAGAGTTTCAGAGTGTGGGCCTTCAATGGGTTTTATGAAGAGCATAAGCAACTCTGATCCACCCAGGCCCAGCATTAATTTAAATGCGGTGTTGGACCAGGCGGTGTTCAAGGGACTAATTGGTGGTCTGAACCGAAGAAGAGGTGAAGGGAAACAGGATGAAGCCCAAATCAAAAGATATTAATCACCAGCCCAGCTATCTATTGGGGAGATTGTAGGCCCAATGGGATCAAAGGGGCGACTAAATCAAGATGAGGCAGAAATACAACAAAGAAGAGTGCTCAATAGAAACCAAGAACTACTGAGTAGATACAACGGTGAAGATCAGATGAGTTGTGAGTTGCAAAGGAAAAAAAAATCGAGAAAAAACAAGGTATGGTCCAGGTATGGTTTTCGAAGAGGGGCAATTTTTAGGGCAGCAGCAGTGGCTCTCTCTTCTTCAGTGTCACAAACAAACAATCATAACAGAAGAAGGAAGAAAAGATATCATTAGTATTTGCTAAATGAAGCTCAAGCTGCAATCCATATTGGGAAAGCTCTGGGAGTGGATTTTGAAGGTAAGGAAAGAGAGGTGACAGAGAAAATGATTACAATGGAAAGAAATGATAGGTCCTAGGCTCCAAAGAGGACTATGGGCGTATGTGCTTGAAGGAGCATTTTTAGAGAAGTAGGAGTAACAATATTTTTGTAATGAAGATAGAGAAAGGTTGAGAAGAGAAGGAGAATAAAAGAGTTCATAAGGTAGAGAAAGGTTGACATGGTCTTGTTTCAAGAAACAAAAAGATCAGAAATGACAGAGTTATTTGTCAAATCACTGTGGCCAGAAGAGTTGGTTGGTTTTATGGCAATCGATGCTGAAGGAAGTGCTGGAGGGTTGCTTTATGTATGGAGGCCTAAGGTGTTTGCCCTGATTGACTGTTGCAATAACAAAAATTGTATCATCCTCTCGGGTAAAATGTATAATGTAATTGAATGTGTGGTTGTAAATGTTTGTGCACCCAATGATAGGGGTATGAGAAGGAATTTATGGGAAATTTTGGGTAATCTTAAGCCTAAGTTTCCCAAACCATGGTGCATTTGGGGAGATTTTAATGAAGTTTGATCAGTGGCTGAAAGAAAAGGCTGTATTAGGAGAGATGATGGAATGAATGAGTTCAATGATTTTATAAATACATTGGAGTTAGTGGATGTCCCAATGATTTGGAGGAAGTATACGTGGTGCAACTCTCAAGAAGAGGAGAGGTGGAGTAGATTGGATAGATTTTTAGTTAGCCCATAATGGTTAGAATGGTTTAGTTTCAAATTGTGAGGGTTTCCTAGGTCATTATCTGACCACAGTCTAATATTATTAATGGAGGATGAGAGGGATTGAGGGCCTAAACCATTTAGGTTTTTAAATGTTTGGGTTCTCCACCCTACCTTTCTGGATAAAGTAAAATCAGTTTCGGAAAATACTCAGGTGGATTGATGACCTAAATTTAGATTAAAGGTTAAACTGAAAGCCTTAAAGGAAGCACTGAAAGTATGGAATATTGAAGTGTTTGGGAATGCTGAATACAAGCTCAAAGAGGCAAAGGATGCAATGCATGCATTAGACTTGGCTGCTGAGGAAAGGCCTTTGAATGATATTGAAATATCCAGAAGAAGAGAGGTTAAAGGGGAGATTTGGAAGCTGAGAAAAATGAAGGAATGGATCTGGGTGCAGAAATCCAGAGTAAACTGGGCTTTAAAAAGAGATAAAAATACTATGTATTTCCACATTATGGCTACAAAGAGGTTGAGTAGAAATCTGATGGATTCAATCATAATCAAGGGTACTTCTTACAATAATCCTCAAGAAATGAAACGAGAAATTGCAAGGTACTTTGGAGAGGCATTTGCAGAAGCTTTGAGGGTTAGACCAAAGCTTGGTGGAGCTTTTAGGTCAATTTAACCCTATCTAGCTGAGTTGATGGTGAAAGAGTTTTCTGAATCAAAAGTATAGGCTGTTATTAAGGAGTGTGATGGGAATAAAGTCCCTAGACTTGACTGATTTAACTTGATTTGCATCCAAAAGGGATGGAGGATAATAAACGATGATATTCTCAAATTTATGGCAGATTTTCATGAGAATGGGAAGCTGGTGAAGGGCCTAAATGCTTCTTTTGTATCTTTAATTCCTAAGCAGGAAAACCCAACAAGTATCCAAGATTATAGACCAATCAGTCTCATAAATTCCATGTACAAGATTCTATCAAAAGTCTTAGCTAGTAGATTAAAACAAGTATTACCAAGTATCATTAACTCAACACAGTCTGCATTCCTGAGTGGGAGAAGTATACTGGATGGGATATTAGTAGCAAATGAAGTGGTAGACTGGTGGAAAGATCCAAGAAAAGTGGGTTAATTTTAAAACTTGATTTTAAAAAAGCTTATGATACAGTAAATTGGAGTTTTTTGTTTGATATGTTCGGCAAGTTTGGGTTTGAGACCAAATGAGTGGAATGGATGAGGTCTTGCCTAAGTTCAACTACAGTATCTTGCCTAGTTAATGGCTCTCCATCCGAGGAAGTGTGTCCCCAAAAAGGGTTAAGGCAAGGGGATCCAATCTCTCCATTTTTGTTCATTATCGTAGCTGAAGAGTTGAATATGTTGTTATCAAGAACCAGAGAAATAGGATTGATAAAATTGATCATGATTGGTGATAAAGGATTGAAGTTATCTCACCTACAATTTGCTGACGACATAGTCTTATTTTGTGAGGCAGATTGGGTAGAGGTCTCAAATGTGAAGAGAATTTTAAGATGCTTTGAGGTAGTTTCTGGGCTAAAGATTAATTATCACAAAAGTGTTGTCAGTGGAGTGGGGATTAATAAGGCTACAATTGCTAAGTTTGCTTCAAGACTAAATTGCGCAAGTCAAACACTTCCTTTTAAGTACTTGGGTATGCCTTTAGGGGCTAATCCTAGAAGAAAGAAATTTTGGAAACCTGTGGTGGACAAGTTCAAGGAAAAATTATTTGGATGGAAGAGAATAGTGCTCTTATTTACTGGTAGAGTGACACTAATTAAATATGTGCTCTCCAACCTGCTAGTTTATTACATGTCCTTATTTAAGATACCTCAAAGAGTATCCAAGGAGATTGATAAGATACAATCAACATTCTTATGGGGTGACTCTGATCTGAAGAGAAAGTTACACTTAGTGAAGTGGGAGGAAGCTACAGTGAGTAAGAATCTTGGAGGCCTGGGTATCAGGGACATTAAAACAGTAAATGAGAGTCTATTGGCCAAGTGGTGGTGGAGATTCGGGGTTAAAGATGATGCACTATGGAAGATTCTAATTTGTAGAAGGTAAGGTGCTGAAGGTAGGAGATGGTTCCCTTTTCATATGGTTGATTGTAATAGTTCAAGGATCTGGAGTGATATACTATCAGTAGTTCATTTTAATACTAGGTTCTTTAATTTTTTTTCATGGAAAATGTTGAAATCAGAGTTGGGAGTGCGAGTAGGATTAAGTTCTGGGAGGATGCGTGGCTGGGCAGGCTTTATTGGAAGGATAAATATCCAAGACTTTTTAGCATTTCCATTGATAAAGGGGTATCACTAAAAGACATGGTGGATAGAAAATGTAACATTAATGATTGAGTTTTCAGTTTTAGAAGACTTTTACTGGCATGGGAGGAGCAGGAGTTAAGAAAGTTGAAAGAGGAATTAGGCTCAGGACCAAGTCTATGCTTGGAAATTTTGGATAACATCAGGTGGAATGCTGATTGTTCTAGGTGTTTCAGTGTTAAATCAGTTTTCAACTAGTGTAAGCAGCTTACTGGATCTAGGCAAAGGCTATCTAGTTTGATCTGGAACAATGTAGCAGCTCCAAAAACATAGTTCTTTGCTTGGTTGGTATGGAAAGAGAGAATAAAAACAATGGATTTTCTACATAAGATTGGGTTGTTGATCCAAGAGTGGGATTTTTATGTGCTCTGGGTGGAACAGAGGAGGAGTCATTAAATCATATAATGTTGCACTATCATTTTGTGTGGAATATATGGTCTAGCATAATCAAATGGTGGGGAATGGAATGGGTAGTGCCTGGTACAGTGGAAGGGCTGCTTCAGTGGTGAAGTGGCTGGAAGTTTAAAAAAGGGGGAATTACAGATATGGAAAGCAATTCCTGTAACAATTTTTTGGTCTATTTGGAAGCACAGAAATGATGTCATCTTCAATGAGGTTCAGCCCAACAATGAAGATCTATGTGAGATTATCAAGGTTAGGGTGGCCATGTGGTTGAAATCAAATATGGTGGGAAGATATTATTCAATTAATCAGTTTGTTTCAAACTTACAACAGATCAGGCGATGTATTAAGTGATGGGTACTAGTGTATAAAGTAGAGAAGTTATGATGCTGCTAAGTGAACTTCTGGGGTGAAGTAGTGGAGGTGTTAGGCTGGGGATGGTTTCTAGTCAGGCACAGCTTGAGGTGAAGAGTGAATTCTAGTTTTTTTTTGGTATTTATGCTCTGTTATTGGTATTTCTGCTCTGTATTCCTGCTCTGCTACTAGTGTGTCATGGGATGCTAGAAGTTTTGGATCAGGAGATGCATCAACTGAGGTGTGATAAGGCTGCTGATGGATTGGACTGAACCTAATTGTTGTGCTACTAATGGTTGCTACTACTCTTGGTATTGGGCTTGATGATAGTTGCTACTGAATTCTGTTGCTGCAGAGTTGTTTTTGGTGATGTACTGTTGTGAAGTTTTTGGTGTTGTGTTGATATGCTCATTGTTTTGTTTATGTCTTGAGTTTTGGTAACAAAGGTTAGATTAGTGGGATGCTACTGTACTGTTTTGGTGGGGTTTTGTTATGCCCATTGTTGTTTTCCTTGGCTTGGCTTGGCTTGGGTTGGTTTCTCACAAACTTTTGATGGTGTGCTAGCAAGGGATTGGGCGGACATATTAGTGCCAACCTAGTTGGGATTGGTATGTCTCGCGATGATGTTTTTTGCACCCATCTCTTTTTTCCTTTCTTGATGTATTGTGTTCTTCGTTCATCAATAAAAAAAAAAATTGCTGATCAAAAAAAAGAAAAAAAAAAAAAACTTTACCATCTCACTTTTGTAAAATGTGTTGCAAAAAAATATGTGAAGTAACTTTTTAATCTCAGCCCACACTCCCACAAACAAACAAATCATTTTTTTTTTAATTTTTGAGATTCCAAACATCTCGGGTAATTCTATTTCCACACACCAAAATATCTCACTCCACATCCTCTCTCAATACACACACCAACTAATTTTGAATGTTGTAATTTTACTCAATGCACAACCCTTTTTGCCAAAAATATCCTTTTCTTTAACATTGAAACCCTAAACCAACACCCATTCTCTAGATCAAGTTCCATTATATGCAATACATAATGTAGAAAAATACAACTTAAAGCCTCTGCATCCATAAGCTGCAATATTAACCATAATAAGCATATGTCATGGGGTGATGGCTCATCAGGCGCTTCAATAACATATAAGCAAGAAAATGAGTGTGCTAACAAAACAGGCACAATCACTATAAACAAAGTAGTTATAATGAAATAATGCTTTTCAGAAAACAAAACAAATACACCATTCAATCATAGGAAAATTCCCACTCAATTGGTTAGTGTTGAGATCAAAAGATTGCAATGAACTCAAATTTCCAAAGCTGTAATAGCGGCGGCAATAGCGGTGGGCGGTAGCTAGGGTTAGGATTAAGAAATTAGGGTTTTGGTGGAGAAGATAAGGATACTTTAGTAATTTTATTTTAGGACAAAACTGTAATAAAAAAATAAATCATTAAGTGTGTGCACAGAGGTAAATAGGTGTGTGGAAATAGAATTTCCCAAACATCTCTCTCTCTCCCAACCCTAACCCTAGTCTTCTGGATGTCCTTGATAGGCCGGCACCTGTTCTTCCACCGGCGGAGGCAATCGGAAAGCGATGGCAGTGACAACAATCGGCGAGTGACAACAGCAACTGAAGTATATTCTTCTCTTCTTTTTTCTTCTTCTATTCTTCTACTATTTTGCTAATTCGATTTTTGTTGAAGTCAGCCCTTGATTTTTGTTGAAATCAACCCTTGATTTTTTTTTTAATCTCTCTCTCTCTCTCTCTCTCTCTCTCTCTCCCTCTCTCTCTCTCTCTCTATTCCCAATTTTAAACCCTAACTATAATTTTCAATCTTGCAGATCAAAGCCCCTTCTTTGTTCAACCGCTCAAGTCTCACCACCATTTCGTTTTTGATCAAGCATTTCAATTTTTAAGTTTCGTCCATTTTTTACTTACAATTGTAGATCTTCTTGTTAGACTAAAATGCTACTATAGTTGGAAAAAATGATATTTTTCTTTGATTTTCTTGGGGTAATTTTTGTGGATGTGTGTTGCTTGTTGGGAATGAGTTGGATTTTGGTGTTTATATATACATATATATATATATATAAAGGATTCCTATTTTCATATGTAAGGTCTTGTTTGTATCTCTCTATTTCTACTTGTATATAGAAGAATAATTTGTCAATTTTGTCTGCTTTGGTTAGTGTTTTAAATTGAATAGCTATACCATATTGTTGGATAATCTTTGAGAAGCAAATTTAATTAAATCAGTTCCACAAATACAAAGAATAAATTAGAGTAGCAAAATTCTTTTTGGAAGATTTAAGATCAATTTGGTTCACTGTAATGGTTCTCTGTTGTGTTTCCAATTTTATTTTATTTTATAAATGTGGTAATCAAAGAGTTTAGATTTATGTCTATTTTTTTTCAAAATTTTTATAATTATAAATTTGAAATTGATCCCAACGTAATGTTGGTTTGTTCGAGGACTAGAATCAACTCTTACGTTCAAAAATAATAATAAAATAAAAAATAAAAATAAAGAGATTGTTTTATCACTTTGTGGAAGTTTGAATGATTGTGAGGCTGAATCTCAGGCCGTTCTTTGTTTGGGAATATAATGTTCTGATTTCCTGCTTTTCTTTCTTTGCTTCTTATATACTTTCCCCTACTAACTGTTTCGTTTAATTTCTATGCAGTAAACTTGCGTTTAATTTCTTCTCGTACAATTCCTTTGGCTCCTTTTTTTTATTTTTTATTCTGTAGTCATTGGACTTAAGTTTATGTTCTCTATATTAATTTCTGGTGCATGATGGATCCACAAGGGATTTGTAGTGTAAGCAAAATTGTAGTGACTCAATTAGCATTTCATATGACATATTCATTGAAGTTGTGTCTGACTTAATTTCCCATCTGTGTATGTTTCATTTAGTATTTAGATAATCAAACTTGACAGCAAAGGAAGGATGTAAAAGAACTGGTATAACTCTCTCTCTCTCTCTCTCTCTCTCTCTCACCCTCCCTCCCTCCATTTGAGTGATTTTAGGTTGATTATAGCAATTTTTGCTAGTTTTAAGTTGATTTGGGAAATTTTTTCTCACGGAGGATTTATGTTTAAGAGATGGTGGGACTCTTGCTATTTTGGGAAATTTTTTAATTATGAATTTTCTTACTGCTAGGTGGTTTGAAAATTGATATTGAATTAGTGCTTGTTGTTGAAGTATAGTCTATTTGTTTTGTTCTGGTACTATTAGGAATTATTCTCTTTTGCTTTTATAATTACAGTATGTGACTTAGAGAAGTAATATGTATATGTGTTTATATTGATTTCATTTTCATTTGTTTCTTTTCAGTTGGCCTGTCAAATTGCACGCACTGCAACCATTTTTCGAATTAATGGAGGTATTTACCTGAGTTTTTTAAAATTTGAGTAATTAAAAACTTTAAGTGTATAATCTAAAATAGTTCTATGTATTATTGGTGGGCTATTTTTTTATTGAATTAATGGTATTCTTACTATTAATGAGTTTATATTCTATCAAAATGGCATTTTGTTATGGGTTTGTGTTGAGGATCATAGCTCAGCCAGTAGCAGCAGCTCAAGCAGCTTAGACTGCAGACACAGCAGCTCCACATGTAGCTCAAATATCTGTCGCAAAAGAAGCTTAGCCTGTAGCCCACAGCTCAACTTAGCTAAGTCATCAGCTCGGATATTTTCTTGTATCTATTAGAGTTAGTTACAAGAGTTTGTTAGATTAGTTATAGAGTTGGTTAGGTTCATTGTATATAAGTATGGCAAACGTATTTAGTATTATTCATTGAGAATGAAATATGACTTGATTAGAGAATTCATTATGGTATCAGAGTCCTAAGATCTAACGAGCATCTCTATCATGGCATCACCATCACCATTATCTTCTTTGCTTCCTTCAAACTTGAGTTTGCTAATCTCCAACTTTTTATCCTTTGTGACAGTTAAACTTGATGGATCGAATTTCATCATCTAGCAGTCACAACTCTCAAATATTCATAAAGCAACCAATCTTCTTGGTTATGTTGATGAATCTATCACATGTCCTTCATCTGCAATCATTGATTCAACAAGTGATGTAGTTCCTAATCCAGAGTTTCTTTAATGGACCATGATTGATGCACACTTGCTAAATTGCATCACTGCAATTCTCACACCTGTGATCTACTCCTCTGTTCTTCAATTTCATCATTGTTTTGAGGTTTAGACTTCATTGCAAAAGCAATTTACATCTCTGTCTCGATCACATGTGCATCAATTAAAGAATCAACTGAATAGTGTTGTCAAGAAGTCTGATACAATGAAAGAATATATGTCAAAGATCAAGGTCATAGTCAATCAGTTAGCTCTGGCTTCTGTTATCATGGATGATGAAGATTTGGTCTTAATCACTTTGAATGGCCTTCCATCTGAGTATGATGCATTCTCTACTACTATTCGTACTCGACCAGATGTCATTACCATAGAAGATCTCTCATCTTTGTTATGTTCTAAGGCTCTTCATTTAGAATCCAAGCTTAAGAAATCTGCAGAACCAACTGTAGAATTTTCTACAGTTAAAGGATCTGATAATTCATCCAATCAGAATTTTGGTTCGTCTCGAGGTCGTTTTGATTCTAGAGGAGGAAGAGGTGGAAGTATCTATAGAGGTGGTAATCAAGGTAATTACAGAGGTTATGGATCTTACAGACGATATGGTGGTGGTAGATTTGGTTCATCTCGCGGCAGAGGCAAATCCAATCAAGGTCAATTCTATCAAATATGTGAATGATTTAATCATTCAGCCCTAGAGTGTTGGCATTGCATGGATCCTCAGTTTCAGCCTCCTCAATCAAACCATCTCAATCACCAACAACAACCAAGAGCCTTTGTCACTACTTGATCTGCGTTTGTGTCTCCTTCATTTTCTTCTGTTCCCAGTCCTTGGTACTTAGATTCTACAACAACAGATCACATGACCAATGATTTGAGTCATCTCAATTGTTATCAGCCCTATCAAGGATCTGATTAGATTACTATAGGCGATGGTAATACCATTCTTATTCAAAATACTGGTAAAGGTTTTCTTTCCACTCCTTACCATATCTTTAAGCTTAATAATGTTCTTCATACAGATGATTTATCTTCTAATCTTGTCTTTGTTTGAAAACTGGCTCAATATAACAATTGCATCATCAGTTTTGATGACACTCATTTTGTGATTCAGGACAAGTTTACGAAGAAAGTGCTTCACAAAGGCTCTAATCTTCATGGCTTGTATTATTTCTTTTCATCCACTGCTTCACCTATTGCTCATTCTCCTTCTGCAACAACTCAAGTGCATTCTAAGTCTTCATCTTTCGCAGCTACTCAAGTGCATTCTAAGTCTTCTTCTCCTGCAGCTATTCAAGTGCATTCTGCTTCTTTTCTTTCTAGTACTCTATGGCATAATAGGCTAGGCCATCCTAGTGTTCTAAAATTTAAACATCTTAGGCCCCGTTTACATTTGAAAAATTATGCTTTTGTCAATCTTCAAGACTGTATTGATTGTTGTGTTGCAAAGAGTCATAGATTACCTTTTCATCTGTCAAATTCCACTGTTAATAAACCTCTTGCTTTAATACATAGTGATGTTTGGGGGCCTTTTGCTTCCATTTCTGGTTACAAATTTATGTTCTTTTTGTGGATGATTTTAGTAGATTCACCTGGTTATATCCATTGGCTTACAAAAGTGAGGTGTATGAGAAATTTCTAGCTTTCAAAGCTTATGCAAAAAAAAAAAAAAATTCTACATTACTTAAGATTCTTAGAACAGATGGTGGCATAGAATTTTTTAATAACAAAATGAAGACATTTGTTGTTGCTCAAGGCATTGTTCATCAACACTCCTGTCCCTATACGCCACCTCAAAATGGTGTAGCAGAACGTAAACATAGGCATCTCACTGAAGTTGCCATTGCTTTACTCAATCATTCTTCTGTTCTTATCCATTACTGGTTTGATGTCATTGCCTGTGCTACCTATCTCATTAATAGACTTCCTTCTTCTAAATGGGCTTACAAAACACCTTTTGAAACCTTATTTCATCATTTTCTAGATTTTTCTATTCTCAAGGTGTTTGGCTGCCAGTGTTTTCCTTGGACCAAGCCATATACCTTTGCTAAATTACAGCCTAAATCTGTTGAGTGTGTTTTCTTAGGCTATCATGCTTTTGCCAAAGGATATAGGTGTCTTGACCCAAAAACTGGCACCATTTATCTTTCAAGACATGTGGTGTTTAATAAGCATGTGTTTTCGTTTTCTCACATGTCTTCTTCTTCTTCTCAATTGTCTTTCCTTCTGTCTTTCTTTTGGGCTTCTCCCTCTCTTTCTCAACCATTAGTCTCTTCTTCTTCTTCTTTTCAATCTGGTTCTGCTCCTCTCAGTACTTCTCCTCTCAGCTCTTCTGTTTCTGCTCCTCTCAGCAACTCTGCTGTTGTTCCTATTAGTTCTCTTCCACCGCAGTCTTCTATTTCTATCCATTCTATTTCCATTCAATTACCTCAGTTACTTATTCCTCCTTCCTCTGGTTCAGTTCCTTCTATTCCCTCTTCCTCTAATTGTTATCCTATGGTTATTAGATCTAAAGTTGCCTTATCTATTGTTACAACTATTTCCTCTCCTTCCTATTCTGATATTGAGCCTCCTACTCATCAAGAGGCTTTGCTCTCGCCCCTTTGGAAACAAGAAATGTTGGAGGAATTTTAAGCTTTACAAAACCAAAAGACTTGGTCTCTGATTTCTCTTCCTCCTGGCAAGACTGCCATAGGCTGTAAATGGGTGTTCAAAATTAAATGAAATTCTGATGGGACTATTACCAGGCATAAGGCTAGGTTGGTAGCAAAAAGCTATCTCCAGCAGGAAGGGATTGATTTTCAGGAAACCTTTAGTTTGGTTGCCAAATTACCAACAATTCGAATTCTGTTATGTCTTGCACTTCATCACAGATGGCCTATTAAGCAGCTAGATATTTCAGATGCTTTTCTTCATGGAGTTCTTGAAGAAGAGGTCTACATGTTGCAACCACCAGGATTTGAACATTCTGCTCACCCTCAAGCTGTTTGTCATCTTCACAAAGCCTTGTATGGCCTTAAACAAGTTCCAAGGGCATGGTATTCTACTTTTTCATCATTTATGTTGTCTCAGGGGTTCAAGAACAACAAATGTGATTCCTCTCTCTTTATTAAACAGACTGGGTCCATCTTTATTGCCTTACTAGTGTATGTTGATGACATCTTGGTCACTGGCAGTGATAGTGTTCACATTCAGGATCTTGTTACTAAAATGCATCAAGCATTTTCCATGAAAGAGCTAGGCCCCATTTCCTACTTCCTTGACATATTAGTTCATACATCAGGTTCTACTATTGTTCTTTCACAAAAGAAATATGCTCAGGACATACTTACTAAAGCTGGTATGTTGGAATGCAAACCTTGCCCGTCTCATATCTCAGTCAAACCTGGTTTGTCTCCTAATTCAGAATTGCCTTTTGATAATTCCTCTGTCTATAGGAGTATAGTTGGAGCATTACAATATTAGACCATTACAAGGCCTGATCTGTCCTATGTAGTAAATCAGCTTTGCCAACATATGCATAACCCCACTGTTGGTCATTATGCTGGTGTCAAAAGGTTACTTCGATTTGTTAAGGGTACACTCTCTCATGGCCGTACATATACACCCAGCTCCTTTGATCTTCAAGCTTACTCAGATCCTAATTGGGCTAGGGATTCAGTTGATAGAAAATCCACCTTTGGATATTGTGTGTTTTTAGGATCAAATCTCATTTCTTGGTCAGCTAAAAAGCAAGCCACTGTGTCTAGATCTTCCACAGAGGCAGAATATCAATCTTTAGCTCATACAGCTGCAGAACTGGCTTGCTTGGCATGTTGCTTCAGGAATTTTGTATTGTTTTTCCTATTGTCCCTCTTCTCTGGTGTGACAATGTTTTTGCCATAGCCTTGGCCTCTAATCCAGTTTTTCATTCCAAATCTAAACACATAGAGGTTGATTGCCATTTTGTTCGAGATCGAGTGCTTGCTAAACAACTTGTCTTACACTATGTTCCCATCATTGATCAGTTGGCTGACATTTTCACCAAGCCTTTGTCTGTCTCTCGGTTTTCCTATCTTAAAGACAAACTGATGTATGTTCCTCCTTCCATCAGCTTGTGGAGAAATGTTGAGGATCATAGCTCAGCCAGTAGCAGCAGCTTAGACTGCAGACATAGCAGCTCCACCTACAGTTCAAATATCTGTTGCAAAAGTAGCTCAGCCTGTAGTCCACAGCTCAACTTAGCTAAGTCATCAGCTAGGATATTTTCTTGTATCTGTTAGAGTTAGTTACAAGAGTTTGTTAGATTAGTTATAGAGTTGGTTAGGTTCATTGTATATAAGTATGACAGATGTATTTAGTATTACTCATTGAGAATGAAATATGACTTGATTATAGAATTCATTAGTTTGACCCTAAATTAGAGTAATGGAATTTATTGAATTTGTTTGTTTTATTGTTGAAAAGAGGAGCTGGGGTTCTTGATATTTAGCTGTTAACATTAGCTATTGTGTTCATCAAAAAAGGGGGATTCTAACTATTCCTATATAAACAGGTGGTGGTATTTGACAACAATAGTAGTTCAGTGAATGATTCAAGTGTTACCACAGTGCATGACAATATTCAGATGATATTGAAAGTGGCGCAACTTTTCTTATAAGGATCTTGCAATATCTCGAGACACCACATTATTTGAGAAAAAGTCTATTTCCAAAGCATAACAGCTTCCGTTTTGTGGAGCGAACTTAATGTCTATCTTGCTTGGAATTGATCAGTATTCCTTTTCTTTTATTTCTTGTTAGTTCATGAAAACTTACAAGTTGCTCACATCCTAAACTTTTGCAGAGACTTTTGCCCCACTTGATGCTCCACATCATTTGCGCCAGCTTGAATGGGCTCCATATCGTGAAGGTAACTTTTAAAGTTAAGGAACATTTCTTTGTCACATGATTTTTGCTGCATTATCTAATTATTTTTGACGGGTATCTATATATTCATTTAGATATTCTAGATTCCAAGGTGGGGGAAATCTGACCTTGCATTTTCTTGAAAATTTTGGTGGTGATGCGACTCACATACATTACATTGGCTTAAAGGGTGAAGCTACAAAGGCAATCCACTGAAAATTTTACAATTCCCTAGATTTGTGGGTGATTTACATGATGTATTTTCTTCATTTTTCATCAATTGCTACTAAATTAATTAGTTGAACATTTGCTTTTTAATTGTCTGCCTATCTAATATTTATCATGCTTGTTGAGCTTGGTCTAGAATTAGCCTTTTAGACAAAAAAGCACTACAAAAAATTAAGGGTATGTTTGGTTTGAATTTGGGAGATGAGTTTTAGAAATAAAAAGTACGAAAAGTTGTTTGGTTTGGTTTTTTTCAAAAGATGTTTTGAAAAATTATTTTGAGAGAGAGTTTTGGAAAAAGTGATTGATTTGATGTGTATGAGAGAGAGATTTGTTTGGAAAACTTGTAAACCAAACAAGTTTTGGAAAAAAAATTTGGGAAAATTTGTTTGGTTTGATTACTTTTGAAAACTTATTTGTAGAGAATTTTTCTCAAAAATTTTTGGGAAGCACAAACCAAACAAGGCCTAAGATTTTAGAAACTAAAATTCAGAGACAAAATTATTTTTTATGGACTAAATAATTTTGTTGCGAAAAGTGTTGTTATTATATTTTTAGCAACAAAAATCGGACATTAGTGATGAATTATTATCTTTTTGGGACCAAATTTTTTGTCTTAAAAAATAAATCATTTTGAGACCAAATTATTTTGTCCCTAAAAGTCTATTTATTAGTGACATTTTCAAAATTTTGTCACTAAAAGTCTTATTTTTTACTTTTTGGGATGACATTTTAGCAACTATCCTCATGATGATGAAAATTGGTCCTTAAATGTCTTTTGTAACAAAATTTTCAATTTTAAAGACTAAAATATTTATTATCTAAAATTCTTATATGTTGTAGTGAAGGAATATCAAATCTTTTTTTTCAGTTCAATTATCCTTTTTTAAAGATTGATGCTCTTCACTGATACATTTGCCCTTTTCATTCTTTTAAATTGTATAGGGAAATCTTTGGGCACTTTGACCTTTTTCTTGTAGGACTATCATGTCCGGCGTAATTGTGATCGGTTTTTTTTGTAGAACATGGTCAGCCTTGGAAGATTGTAATTTTCGTACTGACTTTTTAATTGGTTTTTGTGGAATATGGTCAAACCTCGGAAGATTGTAATTTTTCTTATTCATTTTTTTTTTCTTTGCAGTGTGGAGCTTGTTATATTGAAGTCAAAAATTATTTGGAGAGACGCAAAATGTAGTCAAAGAAGGCGGACTAATATGGAAGCACACTTAGTTTTCCATAAGTTTTTTCATTCTTTGTAATGAGATTTTTATTGTGTAATCACGGTTAAAAAAAAAAAAAAAAAAAAACCTTTTATTTAGACACTTTCTTTGTGTGTGTATACATATATTTTCAACATTCGACTTTCATTTACAAAATATATGAGGTTATTAATCATTCGTATGTGGTCAATGTTGTGATTCAAAGGATAGTTAATAATAGGTGTATTATACATTATTCAAATGTGTACAAATATTATTGATTATATTTTAATCATGGTTTATATGTTGTTATTGATAGTAATATTTTGTGGTCTGAGGCTTTTTATCACACGCACTAACTATGATGAGAAATGTATATAATTGTGATCTTATCTCTTTATTAATTATGGATTATTTAAGTTTAATCTCAGGTTTTATTGGTTATTAATCACATTTAAAATCTGTGATGTAAATGGTTATTATCACAGTCAAAACATGTGATACAATAATCTTTTAATGACGGTAAATGATGGTAAAAAAGTATGATAAAAAATGACCTTTAACAATCACACCCTCAAAGATTATACTTTGACAAAATAAAAAAATATGTGATTAAATAACATATATTACATTTAAAATTTGTAACCTATTTATGATTTTGTAGCAGTGAAAGTGATAGACAAAATCACAAAAGTATAAAGTGAATTTTACCCTCTTTTTTTTTTTTCTTCTTGATTTGTAGACCCAACTGCTTTCGTTTAACCGCACAAGGAGAGAAGTAAAAACCATAGCAATTGAAATAACTTCTTGTAGCATTTCTTGAAATAATTAGTCCTTTCAAATATGCAGAAGTAGTAACAGAGTCATTTTTTTATTTTGCAATGGATAGGTGTCTTCAACTATATATAGTAAGGCACAAGGAAATTTTTTTAGATATTAAAAAATCCCTTAATGATGGGTTTAGATATTAAGGACATGGGCATCATAGGAGAGTACCTTATGATTTGTTGGAAAGCAACCACTATATCTCAAGAGAATGAATGAAATCTCGCATTAATGACAACATTAGGCCTAAATGGAAGAACAAAACCAATTACATTGATAAAGACAAGTGCTCTTCACTTTAGACCATCATAATGTAGTTTAAACAAGTGGGATATCAAATCATTAAATATAAAAATGTTCAAAACAATGCCAATTACCTTGATAAAGACATGGTGATATGTTCAACAATATAATAAATTTGTTGTTAGAGTGTTAGATAATGTCTCAATGGGACCACATAATTAAATGTGGTGTTATCATTTATAAGAAGCCTACAATTTAAGTGATTCAATTTAGTTAATAGGCTTAAGGGTATATGTGTTATGGACCTAATGTGTAGATACTAGTTGTATAATTTCTATTTCTATGAGGGGCAGAAATAGAAATTAAAACATATTGGTTAAAGTTGGTTTTCATTACCTTTCAGTTTTAAAACCAATAATAGTTAATTTATTGGTTTTCATTACCTTTCAGTTTTAAAACCAATAATGGTTAATTTATTGGTTTTCATTACCTTTCAGTTATAAAAACCAATTACAACCTTTAAAAGGTTATGGTCCATATTCCTTCCCAAGGTGAAAAAATAAGAATACTGTTTTGTTTTTCTAAATCCTCTCAAGGAGAAACATAAGACACCAAAGGGAAAGGATTAGAAGGCTCTAACAAAGTCAATATTAAGGTTTTATTAACAATCAGACGCTTCCGTTTAACCGTTCATCAATGGATTCAGGTATGTCATTTTGTCTTGATTTCTTGATAATACACATGGTAAATGATCCAAAGTGTAAGATTTATGTTCTAAAATTTATGTTTACATAGAGAGGTTTTGTCGACTGTTAATGAATAATAATTCAAATCTTACGATAATACGATGATTCATAATATCATAGTTACTGAAAAAACATTATTGGAAACTAAATTTTATTTGAAAAATCCAATCACATTTCATGATCATTGTTAAAAAATAATCCGACAAAATATGAACCCTACTCTTTCATACATTAATATGGACCATCACTAATCGAGACTAATTTATCTCTGAAAGTATAAATTTTGTTGTAAAAAATATTTAGAGACTAATTTTAGTTGTCGCGGGAACAGTCACTAAAAGATTGTCTCGAAAGTCAAAAAATAAGCTTTTAGAGACAAAATTTTGAAAATATTACTAATAAATGTACTTTTACAAACAAAATAACTTGGTCTCAAAAAAGAATTATTTTTTTAAACAAAACTTTTGGTCCCAAAAAGTAAGTAATTTATCACTAAATGTCCAATTTTGTTACTAAAAATAAAATAATAATAATTTTTGCGACAAAAAATATTTTATCCTTAAAAAAGTGATTTTATCCTTAAAATTTTGTGTCTAAAAATGTTTAGAGAAATCATGATTTACATTGATAAAGACACATTAACTTCTCTTTGGAAAGCAACTTTTGCTAAAAGAAAAATGGCAATCAAAATTTCTAACATTACTCTTTGAACATTAAAACACTGACCATGAACATAATAAAATAATTATATGTCAAAAAATTTATGTACTCTCATATATATATATATATATATATATTTACATGACCAGAAAACTAGTTGACATATTTTTATATTGTTTCGTACTCCTTTAATATTCACAATTCACATATATAGATCATAAGAATGTAAAAGTTGGAAATGTCACAAATTAGAAACACAAAGGGTAAATTATACATTTTACTTTTGTAGTTTAATTCAAATTTTATCTTTGTCAAATAATTTCAATTTGAACAATGTCAACTGTAGACTTTAAGTTGAGTTTTAATTTGGTCATTTCGTTTAAATTAGCGTTAATTTTTTTTTTTTTTTTTTTTTCTATATGTGCTCCTTATGTGATTGACTTGTGTTAAAAAAAATCATGAATATTAATATCTAATTTGAGCCAGAAGAATTAGATTGAAAGTGGACTTAAAGCCTACGACTAATGTTGTCCAAATTGAAACAATAGTGAGCAAAGAGTTGAATTTGAAAAATATAGAGATTACCATTATTTAAATGGCTAATTACACCAAAACCTCCTAAGCTATTATTAACCAATATCTATTTATCCCTTATCTCTTAACCCATGTATATTGAATCATTTCCATCACTTTAAAAGGGGATATTTGTACGATTTATATAGTATGAGGTCAGAATATAAGAATTTATAAATATGAAAAATAAGCTAGTATTTCTTAATAGATAACGGAGTGTTGGTGTAATTAACCCTGACTCAGACTAGCGAATGGCTAAACCTGTTTGCCAGTGGTTTGCTGTCTATCACATGGGTTTAATACAATCCAGAAAATCTTCTCCTAGTTTCTTTTCTCTCTCTGTGTTTATTGTTTTGGGTCCATATAAATTTTGTATTGCAAAAAGAACATATATGTTAGTGACTAATATAGTTTAGCACAACACTTGTAATTAGTTGGAGCTTTCTATTTAGACAAAAATTGGTCCCAGCATGAATGCACATGAATTAATTAAAGGATATTGTTGAATAAAATTTCAAAATAGACCCTTCATCCATTCTTATGAAAGATAAAGCTACCTAACTCCTGTTGCTAATTAAATCCCCCATCAACTGCCACAATTTTTATCCCACCTAACCACTACAATGGCCTCGTTTGGGAAGTGGCTATTTTAATAGACTATTTGGCTTTTTGACTATTTTAGTAGGCTATTTTAGTTTTTGTATTTGGGAAGATGAAATGAATTTTTAGTTGAGCTGTTGTATTGAAAAGTGTGTTGAAATGATGTTTGAATTTAAAATAACAAATTTGTCCCTAAATTATATTTTTTTAATTGGATGTAAAGGGGCAAAATGGTAATTTAACCCTTTATGTAATAATTTTCAACTGTGACAGTGTAGGCACAGCCTACACTGTCTGGCTACAGCCTATATATATATATATATATATTTTAAGAAAACTGTGAACAGTATTGACTTTTGGACTTATTTTGCATTTTAGGCTATAATAGCCTTAACTCACCCTCCCCAAACAGCGCCAATATAACGCTTTCATACTGTGTTTTGAACTCTATATATGACAATTACAAACTGAAAAATATACCTAATGAATAGAAATTGAAGAATTGATGATCAACCTACCACTGGGGCAGTGACCGTCCCCACTTCAAGTCATTTTAAGTCTTTATGGTCTTGTTATCTAATGGAAATGCCTTAGCTAATGAGTCCACATGTGCTTTGGTTTTTGTTTGCACCAAAATGAGGAATTTCTAGTGATCAATGCTTGAAAGCTCCAAATTAATGCATTTAGTTATAGACTATGGTTGAAGTGTATGTTTACCTACTTTATTTTTTAAAATTAAAATGTCAAATCTATATTATTATCCAAAAACTTGCAAAGATCAAAATGCAATATTGTTATAAGATATTTTCTTTCCGTGCAAACAAGAAAAAATGATTTACTCTAGAAAAGATTTTGATATAAAGATGATAGGATGCATTCCCAATATGACTACGGTACGGTTATAGATATATATATATATATATAAGAAATCATTTCATTATTTTGTAATACTACTTTGATGATTAAAGTCTACTTGAGCTGGATTAGTACTCATGAACAAGAAGAAGAATATGCTATTTGAAATAACACAAGCCACTTGCATCATGTTTATAATTGGTGGTATTTTTATTTTTTATTTTTGGGGATTTTGACATGAATTATTTTAGTATGCAAAAATGCTAGAGGCCCCAAAAATTCTACCAAAAGTTTTACCAAATGTCTCACATGGGTGTGGGACCCACATGGGACCCACATTGTGTGGGTCCCACACCCATGTGAGACATTTGGTAAAACTTTTGGTAGAATATTTAGGGTCTCTAGCATTACTCTTTATTATGTTCATGGTGAGTCTTTTAATATTCGAATAATTCCTTAT